ACCCTTTTCCAGATCTCATGACGACGTGGTCAAACCACTGTTGCGAGTCATGCGCATGCGCATGTTATCCATTGAAGTAACACATTTACGTGATTGAAGTGACACCTCCAGGCTCTAGCAAAAAAGGTACCCTTTCGCAGCCGAAGTGCTGCGCCTGCCAGCGAGGTAAGAACACGGACCCCAAACACACATGTGGTTGTTAAGTGTGTTTTGGGGATGAAAACAAGAGGAAGCACTGAGCGAAACACAGATTCGGTCCAAAAAAGCCCGACAGTTTCCAGCCCGGCGGGGTTTGTGTTCCAGGTGAACACGTGTGTTCCACGTGTACACACATGTGTGTGTCTGTATTGGACACGCGTTTCATTGTGTTCCAAGTGAACACATGTGTGTTCTACGTGCACACATCAGCGTGTTGTAGGTGAACACACACGTGTGTTCCAGGTGTACACATGTGTGCGTGCTTTACAAGAAGCACACGTTGGTTTTCCAGCTCAACACGTGTATGCGTGTGCCGCAGGTGAATGCATCTGTGTGTGTTCACGGGTGCACATGGCGCTTGCCGCGTGTACTGTTTCAGTCGTATACATGTGTTCCACATGTACACACACATGTGTGTCTGAACTGGACATGTGTGTCTGAACTGCCAATGTGACTGTGCGCTTGCGCAGCCAAACTTGCGTTCACGCGCGCGAGCTCGCCCGCTATCGCATGCGCTTGCCCAACCTCTGTTCCTGCGCAGTGCTGAAGCGCGAAGCGCGCCAGCAACACACATTCGTGCATCATTTTGATTCATCCGCGTTGAAGCGCAGAAAGCCACAAGCTGTTGGCCTGTTTGTGCTTGCCCGTCAGTCCTCAACTGTTTGGGGTCTCTGCTGGTGTCGTTTTTCTTAATTGTGCTTAATGACTGACTTAAAGAAATAATACCTTAATATATTAAGAGGAAAATGACATTCAAGTACAACAAATATCCTTATAAATATATGAAACGCAAAACTGCTGTAGCATTCGCAAATAAATTACCTTTTAATGTTTGTAATCTTATTTGTGGCGATTTAGTTGAAATTTACAAAGACAAATTAGTAGAAGGATATGAACATTATTGTTGTAGAAAGGTTGATAAGTTATTCTAATCACATTGTTGCTGAAAGTAAATTTGGTTAAAAATTAAAACTGTTTATTTATATTTTTTAATTATAATATAAATCAACATTGTATTACACCATCATCGACCCCAAACAGTGAGAACCACACTCAATTGCATCAAGAGTTGTTCTCAGCACATACACACACACACACACTCAGCCCTAGTCAGCCGATTTTTGACGGCTGCAACAGCACCCTGCGCAACTCTGAGTCTCGGCCTGCAGCAGCTCCGGCACTCTGCGTCTCGGCCTGCAGCAATCCTGAGTCTCGGCCTGCAGCAGCACCGCGCGCAACAGCGCCCTGCAGCAGCACCTTGCAAAAGCACCCTGCGCAGCTCTAAGTCTTGGCACGCAGCAGCGCCCAACACACCTTGCAGCAGCACCCTGCGCCCTGCGCAACCCTGCTGCAGCACCTTGCAACAGCACCCTGCGCAACTCTGAGTCTGGGAGTGCAGCAGCACCCTCACGCAGCACCAACAGCACCTGACCAAGCCAGACCATCTTGTGACAGCGTCCAGCCCAGAAAGCAAGCGAGGAAACAAGTGGGGAGACAAAGAACTGACCGAGCCAGACCATCTCGTGACAGCATCCAGACCAGCAAGCGCGTGAGGAAACAAGTGGGAAGACAAAAGGAAACAAGCCGGGAGACAAAGAGCTGACCGAGCCAGACCATCTCGTGACAGCATCAAGCCCAGCAAGCGCGTGAGGAAACAAGTGACAAAGAGCTGACCGAGACAGACCGACGGCGTAGGAAACAAGCGGGGAGACAAAAGGAAACAAGCGGGGAGAGCGAGGAAACAAGTGGGGAGACAAAGAGCTGACCGAGCCAGACCATCTCGTGACAGCATCCAGACCAGCAAGCACGTGAGGAAACAAGTGGGAGGACAAAAGGAAACAAGCCGGGAGACAAAGAGCTGACCGAGCCAGACCATCTCGTGACAGCATCAAGCTTAGCAAGCGCGTGAAGAAACAAGTGACAAAGAGCTGACCGAGACAGACCATCTCGTGACGGCATCCAGCCCAGCAAGCGCGTGAGGAAACAAGCGGGGAGACAAAGGGAAACAAGCGGGGAGACAGAGAGCCGACCGAGCCAGACCATCTCGTGACAGCATCCAGTTCAGGAAGGGCGTGAGGAAACAAGTGGGGAGACAAATGCAAACAAGTGGGGAGAAGCAGAGCTGACCGAGCCTGACCGAGCTGAGCGAGCCAGACCATTTTGTGACAGCGTCCAGCCCAGCCAGCATGTGAGGAAACAAGTGGGAAACAAATGCGAACAAGTGGGGAGACAAAGGGCTGACCGAGCCATACAATCTCGTGACAGCATCCAGACCAGCAAGCGAGTGGTAAACAAGCGGGGAGACAAAGAGCTGACCGAGCCAGACCGTCTCGTGACAGCACCCAGCCCAGCAAGCGAGTGAGAAAAGAAGTGGGGAGAAAAAGAGCTGACCGAGCCAGACCATCTTATGACAGCATCCAGCCCAGCAAGCGCGTGAGGAAACAAGTGGGGAGACAAAAGGAAATAAACGGGGAGGCAAAGAGCTGACGAGCCAAACCATTTTGTGACAGCATCCAGCTGAAACAAGCCGGGGCACTAAACTGTTTGGGAACAAGTGGGGAGACAAAGGGCTGACCGAGCCAGACCATCTTGTGACGGCATCCAGCCCACGAAGCGAGTGAGAAAACATGCGTGGAGACAAAGAGCTGACCGAGCCAGACCATCTCGTGACAGCATCCAGCCTAGCAAGCGAGTGAGGAAACAAGCGGGGAGACAAAAGGAAACAAGCGGGGAGACAAAGGGCTGACCGAGCCAGACCATCTCGTGACAGCGTCCAGCCCATGACCGAGCCAGACCGTCTCGTCGCGGCGTCCAGCCCAGCAAGCGAGTGAGACAAAAAGTGGGGAGACAAATGCAAACAAGTGGGACACTAAGGGCTGACCGAGCCAGACCATCTCGTGACAGCATCCAGCCCAGCAAGCGCGTGGTGAAACAAGTGGGGAGACAAATGGAAACAAGTGAGGAGAAAGAGCTGACCGAGCCAGACTATCTCGCGACAGCGGCCAGCCCAGCAAGCGCGTGAGGAAACAGGTGGGGAGACAAAGAACTGACCGAGGAAACAAGGCCAGACCATCTCGTGACAGCATCAATTCTTTGTAAGAAATAAGAACCCCAACAGTAAACTGTTTGGGGAAAAACTTTACTAGACCACGGTTGGCCCGAAAGCATAACATCGCAAGCGAGGTCGGCCCAACGCTGCAGGATGCGTTCTTTTTCCCTCCACGAAGCATTCGTGAAGCAAGCGCGAGACAGGACCAGGCAAGGTGCTCTGCGCAAACTGGTCGGTGCAAGTTGGTCTGCGCAAGTTGCTCTGTGCAAGTTCCTCTGCGCAAGTTGCTCTAGGCAAGTTGCTTTAAAACGCAAGTTGCATCTTGCGACGCCCGGCCGCGGACCAGGGAGGAATCGAACCCGCGACCCGCCGGTCCCGGGAGCAGGCGCGCGAACCACGAGACAACTCCCGAGGACCAGTTTGAACAACAAAAGTCGCAAAAACCTCGAGTTTTTGCACCTCGACCACGCCGATTCCCGCAAAGGGTTGCGCCGCAGAAATCGAAAAAAAACCTCGAGTTTTTGCACCTCGACCACGCCGATCCCCGCAGAGGGTCGCGCGGGAACTTTAGAAATCGTTAAAAACCTCGAGTTTTTGCACCTCGACCACGCCGATCCCCGCAGAGGGTTGCGCGGGAACTTTAGAAATCGTAAAAACCATGGGTTTTTGCACCTCCACCACGCCGATCCCCGCAGAGGGTCGCGCGGAAACTTTAGACATTTGCACCTCGACCACGCCGATCCCCGCAGAGGGTCGCGCGGGAACTTTAGAAATCGTAAAAAACCATGGGTTTTTGCACCTTGACCACGCCGATCCCCGCAGAGGGTCGATTTTCGTGTAGTGTCGTCGGCGCTACCCCGCCGCCCTAAGAAGAGATTTTAACTCCTCGCAAGTCAATTGCACTTGGCTCCTTGCACTTGCAACTTGCACTTGACTCCATGCACTTGCAACTTGCACTTGACTCCTTGCACTTGCAACTTGCACTTGACTCCATGCACTTGCCTTGCAGCTCGCAATGACTCTCATGACTCCTTGCAATGACTCCTTGCAATGACTCCTTGCAATGACTCCTTGCAATGACTCCTTGCAATGACTCCTTGCAACTCCTGGCAATGACTCCTTGCAATGACTCCTTGCAATGACTCTTTGCAATGACTCCTTGCAATGATTTTCATGATGATGATTCCTTGCAATGACACCTTGTAATGACTCGCATGAGAACAACTTAAGTGAACCCAGCGGAAGAACCCTTCGCCATGCTTTCGGGAATAGCCTTTCACTACACTATACTTATACTATTATATTTTCTTACTTGGTTCTCTCTTTCAAAGTGCGTTGTTTGAACTTGGTATGCTTCTTCAGTTGTTTCGTGCTTTGGCTGTTTGATTTTGTTTTGATTGAGACTGCTTTGTTTTACTTTGTTGGTATGCTGCTTTGTTTTTTGGTTGATGAGTGTTTTTGAGGTGAGTGTCTTTGATGGTTTAGAGTTTTGCTGTTTTGTTGGTATGCTTGTTTGATTTGTTGAATGTTGTATGTTGTGATTAGATATTTTCTTGTTGGTTGTTCTTATATATTTTGTTGTGTTGTTGTTCTGGTTTGTGTTGCTGTTTGTTGTGTTACTGTTGGGGAAAATAGTATATGGATAATTATTTGAATTCTCCTTATACAATTTTTCTCCCACCGCCCCCCGCCCCCCCCCCCCCCGACCCACCCACCCGCCCGCCCGCCCGGCCGCCCGGCAAGTTCCTTGAAGGCCCCGCGCTTTGAGATTGCCTTCGAGGATACCTACCCATCGTGTGCCACGCGCGCCGTCAAGTTATTTGTGGAGGACCGGCCCGGCTTCGACGCTCCGCTTGCTTAGCACTGTGTTTTGTTTTGTTGATGTTTGATTTCCCTGTGTGTTCTGCGCCCTGTCAGTGTTGTTCTTTTTGCGACATGCTTTAAAGCCTTTTGCAATCCTCATTGTTTTTACAGCCTAGTTGTCTCACTTTTCGCTTGGAAGGATGCCTTCTTCCGCAAGGCGGGGGTTCCACCCTCTGACTTGCCGAACAGTAGGTGGAGCCGGGGCATCTCGACGGCGCTGTGCCACCACTTCAGTTTGCAGGAGGGGTAACAAATTGAGAGTGGACGAGTTGCAACGAAGCTAAGATGTTTTGAGACCACACGTATCCTCGGGCATTTCATTTTGTTGTAAGTGAGTTGGTACAGTTCACCCATATGGGTGTCGCTCCTCTTTGTTGCAGCTTCGGAAGGCGAATCGGATGGAGAGCAAATATTCTTGTGGCTTTCTCAATTTTGGGACGTACCCGCAAGATGGACACCAAGACAGAGTGTTTTTTATTCTCAGCAGAAATCCAGCTAGGACCCTTTGTGACTTTGTGTGATATATGTTGTTTGCTGGTGGCGCGGCTTGGGAGTGGCCAACAGCCGCTCTGGGGGACGATCCCCGTTCCCGGCTAATCAGTTGATTCCTGGCTCTGCTTGAGCGTTGGCGTGGCCGGAGGAGAGGAAGTGCCCCTACTGGCAGAACTGCATCTTCCTGCATGTGGAGACAGAGGTTTTGATGAGGGAGTTCAAGCGATACAAGTGCATGTGTGGCCCAAATGACGGTGTTTGCAGGTTCACGCGTTGCCCTTACGCGCACACGCAGACACAGCTCACGATCCCAAGCGCTTTCGAGGAGCCCGCCTTCCCGGGCGAAGATGCTGTACGGGAAATCCGGTACACAAGCGAGCAAACTGGTTTGGAATCAACATTAAAGCTGCCCCGAAAGTTTATTGCCAACACCTCCCAGAAGATCGCCAACTCTCTTTGCTCCCACACTTACGACTGGTGCAGCTCCGCTGTATCGAATCACGTCAGGGCGGGTTTGGTTTTCTCTTTTTTCTGTTCTGATGCCCTTGTTCTGCATCGTTTGGCAGCCACACTCATTGGTATTGGTTGAGGCAGCGACGCGCAGTGCAATCACGGGGTGCACATCACGCCAGAGGGCTGGGCATGGCTTAGAGGTTACTCAGATGCCACCAAAGCAGATCTGCCCACTCCGCGCTACTTCGCATCTAAGGTGCGACGGGTGGTCTAGGCTCCCGAATGTTTCCCTTTTCTGTTGATTTTGGGTATCTCCTGTTGGCAGTTTGAAACAAGTTTAGGAGGGTGATGTTGAAAAAAGGACACGCGCGGAACGCTGAGAGTCCCTGATCGTGCCATGAACTATCCTTCCTTGTGTGACCGCGAGTCCGTGACTGCCTCTACAGGTGAATGTTGGCAGGACGGGTAGGACCTGGATGAACGCAGGTCGGACACATGCTTGTGATCGTTTTTTCTGGAGATTGGTGCGCGAAAAAACCGTCATTCTCAGTGACTGTGTGACAGAGTTGAAGTCTCATTTTCCGCAATTTGGGTTCTGAGACCTTGGCGAACCACCCTTCTGCCAACTCTAAGTGATTTTGCTGCGCCCTCCAGGTGGACAAATGCTTCCGCAGGCTACCGGCGGAGGTCCAGGCAAAAGCGCTGCCTCCAAACCGCTGGAATGGCAAAGCCTGGGCCGCCCTCGAGGCAACCGAGCGTGTCGGCTGATACCGAAGTAGTTCAAATCGCATCCACATGGCGTTTTGTCTAGCGAAGCAGCTCAGCATTTGGCATGTGACACTCACACGCTGGGCCTGCAGCCTTCTGGCCCCGACCAACTTTTCGGCTGCACAGGCTGCAAACAATGTGCCGGGAAAAGCAAAGGCGTTCGGAGCTGCAAGTGCACCAGACAGTGCTGCCTGCCTGCAACGCTTGGCCTGGGCCGAAAGGTTCCATTGCGAACGGTTGTAGCGCCCCCTCTTCGTTCTTTGCTCTACACCAGTTTGCGAGAAGGATCAAGCAGGCGCATCGTTGCGAAGTAAACTTCATCTTGTCCAGCCCTGCCCTCGGCAGCTTAGGCTGAATACCCCGCGCTGGGCAAAGCAAAGTCGAAGCCACTTGCAGCCCCGCCGCCACCAAAAGCTGCTGCCTGCCTGCAACGGTTTTTGTTGGAGCGTGGTTTCTTCTAAAGCCACTGTATGGGGATCAAGCAAGCAGCTTTGTCCTTGCTGCTGGAGTACAGCAAGCAGGCCACGTGACCAGCAGGCGTGTGTGACATTGGCCTCGACCAACCGTGAACCTCCCCCTCACCCGCAATGCAGGCTGAACGCAGCGTGCTGGGCAAAGCCATGCCTGCAATACTTGGCATGGCTTTGCAGCGAACGGTTCTCGAGCCACCTATGCTTGGTTTTCATGTTTAATTATCAGTTTATGAAAAGTATGACGCGACTGCATGGTTGCTGTTTGATTTGTTGACATCTTTATTTGCTAAGAATCTCCGAGCCGCAAGGCGAAAACATCCTAAGGGCAGGTTCTGAGGGTCACCCTGTTTTTCCCCTTGTTTAAGGTCTCAAACCTTGTGGGGAGATTGTGTTTTGAGTGCAGCCGACATGTACATGCGAATGCATTTGGCTCAAGACCTTGACAACAGAATCGAGGCAAACATCCAAACACTGCTGTGAAGCAAAGCAAAAGGGTTCGTATTCCGCGGTCGCATCGAGTCGTGAGACAACGCAGATCATTTACCTCACAACCCCCTTTTACCACGACCACTACTATACGACTTGCTGTCGAGGGTATTGGTCACCCCACGGGAGTCGAACCTCAACTACCCTGTCAATTGACTGCGTGGTTGATCCGCCTCCCGGCAGGTTATCAGCCGTAAGTTCAAAATTGGTCCCTGCGGTTGATTGCAACTGAGGTACAATACAACCTTTTGGAATATTTTACAGCCGTACAATGGATTCTTCCGGAAGCCCGGGAACTGCAACATTCGGAAATGATAGTTCCAGTGGTTCCACAGGTATGCTTGCAGTGCCGGCGATTGCGGACTCTCCGGATACACAACAAAGTGCAAGTTCTGGTATTAGCCATGACCTATCACATTCATCCTGGAAAGAAATTGGTCACGCCGTGTGGTCCAAGGACGGAGAAAAGAAAAGATCGTCATCAGCTTCGTTATCGACACCGAGAAGGAGCGTGAAGAAGGGCGTTACGAGTCCTGCGAGAAAGGAAAAAGGGCGATCTAAATCGCCTGCAGGCTCTAGTCCGTCTAAGGTCACTCAGGAAAACAAGACCCTCAGACAGGAAGTGGAGGAGGCTAAGCGACATTTGGCTATGCTACAGGAGTCATATGAACGTGACGACCAAGGCAATGTCACGCGCATCCAGGAACTGGAGCGGAGAGCAGGCATGTCGGAACAACAAGTAGCCCACATCCTCAAAAGATCCGACGAGCAACTTCAAGAAGCTGCCCAACACATCGACATTCAACGTGGAAAGACAAAGCTACCCGAAGATCAGGCACAACACTTTGTGAAGATCTACGGAGAGTGTCAAGAAGAAGCCCGACTCAAGGTCATCGAGTACGAAAAGCGACATCAGGAGATGGCCACAACTGTGAATCTGCTTGAACATCGAGTCAGGTGCGAGGAGGAAAGCTCATTGGTCAACAGGCAGAAGGCTGAACAAGAAAGAAGAAGCACTTCCTCCGAGATCGCCCAGTATCAATCGATGATCAATTCATATCAGGTGAAGATCTTTACAGATTCGCAGAATGAAAAGAATACTATTCGTGGTTTGCGTGAGAGATTGGAGGCAGCATTGCTACCGCAACCGACCATGGCAATCGATGATGAGCCACAAGATATATTGGTGAGCAAAACGAATGATGCTATCAGCTACGCTGAACAAGAAGCCCATTGTGCACGGATTGCCATGAGCGAACGGGACGAGATGTACTTGATCGGACAACGCGCAGTACAGGAACGTGACGCAAAGATGAATGAGGAGATCAAAATTGCTAGAGATCGAGCTCATCAAGGAAACGCATTACATGATCGCGCCACGCTGAGAGATCAAGAGTTTGTCGACGTGACTTGCAGTGCTGAGCGGGTGCACTTGAGCGGGCTTACCATCCGCCCCCCCCCCATTTGGCTCAAGGCCCTCTTTGTAGATAGCGTATTGCACTCATGCGATAGCAGTACAAAGGCTTGCAGACCGCTTACAGGAATAACAGTCAACACAAGCCACCAGGGACAATCCATCCTCCAATCATCCATATTGGCATATTGGACTCTCTCCGGAATAGATCCAGGGACCAAATCAACGACCTCTACTACCACAAGGGTACCAGTTCCCTTCTGGGATAGGCACCCCGGCAGTGGGCCTCAATTTGTGGTAGCGGAGCGGGTTTTCCGCAGAGATCCAAGGGAAGATGTCATCCGATGGAGAAGGCTTCATGGAAGCCTATTCAAGTATGGCCAAATCAACAGGCTATACGGAGGAAACACTCAATTTATCGATGACCGCCAAGCAGCCGCCATCGTACGACGGAAAAGTCAGCTGGTTCAGGTATGAAGAACGACAATCACGACAGTGGAAGCACCCAAGAGAGGACCTCTGCTCAAAAGCAGACTCACAGGAGATGCCTACATGTACAAGGCAGTCCTCCAAAATGACCTTCTGCAAGATCCTGATGAAGGAGTCAACTACTTCAAGAACACGCTGAAGAAGTACTTTTTGAAAGGTGCGACCAACGTATCTGTACAGGCTCCTCAGTTTCTTCAATCATAGAAGGCAGAACCAAGAGTTCCTCATTTTTACCTCAAAATTCGAAATCCTTCTTATGAGACTGAAGGCAGCATGGATGGACTTGATGCCAGTTTTCACGGCACAATCCCCATCATTTCGACAGTCCGTACAGGAAGCAAATGCAAGAACAATTGCTCGACATCAGCAAGCAGCCGGTGTTCGAGCACCGCCTCCAGTCCTGCTCAATGAGGATGATCCAACAGTCCTCAGACAGTATATCACGGGAATGCAGGACAGACAGCGGGACGCATTTCCTTTCGGGGACAATCTCATTGCGCAGTTTTTCATCACACAGAGTGAATTGTCAGATCAGCAGAGAGAAAGACTGACCAGCGCAATGTCACTCAGGAACATTTCACTAGAGAACTACTCCTATGAGATGCTGAAGACTCATTACCATGAACTCTTCATCACGACCAGAACATCCATTCAAGATCCATCCATCCGACCTCAAGGAGGCAACCGAAGCAACACCTTCTGCATCATCGAGCAAGGTGAATACGAAGGAGAGGAAGGCTTTTTGGGTTGAGGATGAAGAAGGACTTGAAGGATTCATGTCAAACAACGATGAAGAGACATTCTGGGTCCTCGAGGAGAACGATGCGTTCATAGCAAGAAAAGTGTCAGGGCGGAACTTCAAATTCAAGAAGAGAAAAGGAAAAGGAAAGTCAGGAAACAAAAAGGGCAGTCACCAACGAGGTGGCTTCAAACCCTTTCGAAAAAGCGGTTCTGGCGGGAAGGCCAATATGGCCAATGAAAACTATGATCCCTACGGCCAGGCATATTGGGGAAAGGGCAAAGGAAAGAAGGGAAAGAAAGGAAAATCAAAATTCCGATATCCCTATGATGGAAACAAGGGTTATCCGCCCTATGAGAATGGCAAAGGAAAAGGACGTTCGCAGCCATCGCAGAAAAGACGGAGGAGCAGCCCGCCATCCAGCAGACTGCACCATCCACAGAGCCTACCTATGCCGGTTGGACAGACCAAGATTGGGATCAATGATGGACATGGAACGAACAAGGCTGGTACTCATCCCATGAGACATCCAGCGCAGGACAAGCGCTAATGGCATTCCATGATGCATATGAGCATCATGAGAAGGAGGCCATCCACGGGAAGCTGATCCAATCAGATGCAGTTTCAGAACACAATTTGTCCGTCACAACAAATCACAGCCTTTTGGCAACCAAGCTGATGGCGCCTGTCATCAACCCTCAGCACAATCCGACCTATGCGATTCTGGACAATGGATGTACCAGATCTATGGGCAGCTGGCATGCAATCCAGCGTTTTTTCTCAGGCCATCGAACCAATCAAGGACATCGTCTTCTATCAGTACATCCCGGCCGAGACCAAGTTCACTTTTGCAAACGGAGAGACCGCCAGGGTAAATTGGACCCTGCATCTTCGATATCACACAACTCCTCCATGCAGTACCAACATCGACGTCCTTGAACAAGGAACTGTATATTCCAGCCTTTATTTGAGGCTGCTTGGATTGCAAGGCGGAAACCACTCCTGGATGCAGCAGGACTGTCTGTCTGCTGATCGTTCTTCTGCTTGTCTTGGAAGCCTTGGAGGACCCAGCGAGCCTTGGTCTTCAGGAAGTTACCATCCTTGTCTCGCTTTAGGGTAAGGACCCAGCGACCAGTGACCCAGTTCCTGACCTGAATCTTGCGTGTGTCGACTAAGTCGAACACTTCGTTATCAAGCCAAGATTTGCACTCGAGCTGCTTAGCTTCAATTAATTGCTTCTGATAAGCCCTTATTTCAGTGGCTGTAGCTTCCTTCCGCTTCTTGCCAATGAGTGCGGTGGATGAAGCCTTCAAGGATTCTTGCTTGTATGAATACAAGACTAAGAGTGCACGGTCATCATCGGTCATGTTCTTGCATAACTGGTCAACATGAGTCTGATCTGTGTAATTCTGATGAGAGAATCCAGATGAAGGTCCCTTTCACACGTCCAAGAAGGACAGGGTTGCCTTCAATATCTCTCGGAACCGTAAAGGATCCGGTGTTCGCACAGATCTTCTGTTCAGCTGTCATGAGTGACCAATGTGCTTCATCAAGAACAAGATCAGCTAGGTGATCATCGTAAGATCTGGTCCTCTGAGAGTCTTCTGATTCTCCATCTTCCTGGTCAGTATATCTCATGGTTCTTTCTGAACTTCCAGCGCCGGATGAGGTCGGAACATGAGGGATCAGTTCTTTCCTCACTTTCATATTGTACCGGCAAGTTAGCTGGATTGTTTGGATTGTAATTGGATGAAGATGCAGGTTCATTTCTGGGAGACTGCTCAGGTGACTCATCATTGTCATCTGGCTTCTTCTTCTT